TCATGGCAGAGCCCCCTCAAGCAGCATGGGGTAGCAGCGGGGCAGCGGGGATCATCCCCCACCACTCCTGGCAGGACTCAGTGAGAGCGGGGCTTTTATTTTTAAAGGACTGGGGGGCTGGGACTGGGTAGGGCATCCATGGGAGGGGGAGTGGGCAGGGGGCAGAGGGCTCATGACAGAGCCCCTCATGCAGTGCAGGGCAGTGGGGGGTAGTAGAGGTTGCCCCCCCCACCTGGCAGCAGCTGGTGAGTGGGGGTGCTTTTTTTTTTCCAAAGAGCCGGGAGCTGGGGCTGGGTGGGGCTGGGAGAGCAGGCAGGGAATGGGGCCTGTGTGATTTGGAGATTCAGCAACAGGCGAATCTCCAAATCAGATTTGGTTGAATCGTTCAGGACAGTGATTTGAATCACCGAATCGAATTGCTGTTCCCCAAATCGGCCAAATCTGAAGCGAATACTAGCCACTTCGCACAGGCCTAATAATATATGATTTGGTGGAAAATAAGTTACTGTGAGTGAGTAAGTTACTAGGGTTATTTTTCATGGATGTTTGATCATTTTTAAAGTTAACAGATATAGACATATCTGCACCTGGGTATACACAAACATCAGACACATTATCAAGATGCAAAACTTGACTACAATAGACAAGCACATTTAGGGAGTTATAGCAATAGGTCCTTCTGCAATTTAAACTTCCCTTTACAAGATCTGACTCTCACCCTGCTTGCATTGATTTTTCTTTGGTGTAAATGCATTGACTGCATAGCAGTTACGCCTTATTTTTGTCTGTGTGAAAAGAAGTATTTTCACTCCTACAATAGAAAGGCATTTATTCTGTTTTCAAAACTTGTAAAATGACTCAGTCTCAAGATGAAGTATTATGCATCAAATTTTACCCCAGAGTCATACTTTGTTCTCTTTTTTTGGCGGATGAATTAGGAAACAATGAAAATGGAGGTTTATAAATGATAATGTTGACGCTTAATGAAATGACAAGGACCATTACAGCAGTAACACAGCTGTCAATAACTGGTTCAGAAACTTACACATTTCTGTCCCTGCCAGGCATTTGAACATAAACTACATACCATTATTATCAATATAACATTGAAAAAAATAAGAAAGGGTGGTTGCCCAGTTTACCTCTTTGCAATAGGTAAATATTAGTCTTTCATTTTTAAGTAAACTAATCTACTGTTACCATCAAAGGAAAGCAAAATATATGGTAAACACCATCAAATAGACAAGTCAACAATCTGTGCATTTGAACAGAGTACCACGGCAAACAAACAACAGCTACCATTGCAGCACATAACCATCAGACAAGACAGCTCAACGCTTGCTGAGAACGTCCAACAATAATTTGATGACACAGCATACATAATATTAAAAGCTAGATGATGTTTAGGCATTCTGACAAGGAAATAAAGAGGAACAACAAATTTGAACATTAACAATGTAAGCCATTGGCGAAGTGTAGGGGGTGCACCCCTGCAAAAAGGCACTACTAACGCTGCAGGCAGCACCTGTGGGTGGTTGCTGCATGCTACCCCCCCTTGCCACCGACACTGCTGGCAGCATCTGCGGGCAGTCCATGATTGCTGCTGGCCACCGCTGCTGGTGGCATCTGCAGGTGGTCACCGACCACTGGTTGGAGCTCGCCACCCCCCCTTGCCACTGATAGAGCTGCCACTGCCTGTGGGAGATCTCTGTGCCCCCCCCGAGCCTCTGGGGGCACACGGCATTCACAATGTAAGCCATAAGCTGTATGAACAAAATGTTTGTTTGATTATATCACTGGAATTACGTACATATTACTGGGGGTTGAATTTTTAATATTTTTATACTAAAAAATGCAGGCGATGCTTAACTTAGAGCCAAATTTTGGGTTCACTTGTGCCAGTGGAATTCTGAAGCATCTCTACTGACTTCCATTGCACTGGAGATATTTACATCCCAGTAACCAAGTGCAGAATTTAATCAGGTCAATGGCTGAAAGGCCACTTAATGTATGATCCAAATCTATGAAACAAACTGGGTGCCTATGACAAAATCTTACCCATAACTAGGTTATAAGCATTTTGAAAAATTCACACAAGTTAAGAGGCTGGTAAAAACAAGAAGAGAAAGAGAGCTTTTTCTCAACCTTGCACAACCTTGAGGCAGTTGGACCCACCACCTATATGTTCCCCTCATGGGAAATCATTTCTGTACAGCTACTCCTCCTTGGATACCCTACATGCTCTTCAACCCATGTTTACTGTAGATATGGGCTGGCTCTCCATTTAGTTGCTTCAGAGCATTCAGACTAACTCCAATAGAAAAAAACTACTGAAACTAACTTCAGGGCTGCTCCATTTTCAGCCCTCTTTTGAGTCCTTCCCTAAAACAGATGACCCTTATACCCAGCCAGCAATTTCTGGGCTTCAGTCCAACTGAGAGGTCAGGCCAGGCCGGGCTCACTGCTCCTATCTTCAAGTAGACTTCTCATCCACTTGTTTTACCGTGCACGTGTAAAGCACACATACTTGCATGCATAACTCCTGCTGTGAGCACACACATACCTATATCTTACTTGTACAAATGCAGCATGCATGTCTTCTCCAGCTGCAGCTGCTGGGCTCCCCTACTTTTCAGCCTATATCTCAGGATGTAAGCCAGGACTTAATTTGTAGTGCAACACTGCTAATGAAACCCATGTTCGTTCTTTAACCTCTTGGTGGCTGGTGCAGACTCCACAGCCTGTGACACCCCTCGAAATCCTCCTCGTGTAACAGAACATGGGATAGCTTCAATGTGGGAACGTAGGACAGCGTGGGATAGCTTCAACTGTCCTGTCAGACATACCCACCCCAAATTTAAAATGCATGCTTTACATCAATGGACTGCTGTTTCTCCTCTCTGCGCTATCCCTTGTTATACCTGCCATCTTGTGTACTAATGTGGCCTAGTGTGACACAACATAATAGCAAGATATCAATCAAAAACATAGCATCAACAGTAGAGAATAAAAGGGTATTCGATCTCTAGGTGAGGAAATGAGTGAGTTTTGTTTTTTTAAAAAAACAATATCCTGGTTTGTGTGTTCTTGGAGAGTAGAAATCCAGTGCTATATAACAACTGTATTTCAAAGAACTTTTACAAATGTTAATTATATTCATAATTTCAGCACCAAAATGTCAAAGAATCTCTTCAAGGGCTCCATTCTACAAATCAGGAGATTTGTTTAGCAGTAAAGATTACCACTTCCAGTGCTGGTGTCTGTCATTTGTACCCTGTGGCTACTTCAACAGTCAAACTTTCAAATACAAATAACAAACCCCCAAGCGTATGCAGGAACATAATGGTAGACACAGACCCCTTGGAATTAAGATGCTTCACATGAACACATTTAGTGCTCAACAAATAATTTCTGAATGTCACTGATCCTGGATTCTTTTTTTTTTAAAGCTACTTTCTGTTCCTTTGACAGATGTGTTATGCTGCATTTCATTACTTTCTCTCCTTACCTCGTTCTTCTTTTGTTTTAGATAAGTGATGAGGCTTTCGGGAAAGATTAAGCACAGGCAGGCAAAGCAATGGCCCAAACACGGTTTTAATTGGAACCTCAAATCCTGTGGAAAAAATAAGAAATTAAACCATTAATAATATGATCTTACCAGCAGACACAGTGTGTTGATGTATTTCATTTTAGGCAGCTTTTACTAAATGTCTTTCTATCAGATTTCAGCAGGTGCAAAGCCCATTAGTCAAATCACATAAAAAAAAAAAAGATTCTAGCTTTCAAATGGTAAGATTTCAGTAAAACGAGCTAAGGCTTTACAAGCGCTTACTCACATGAGCAGTCCTTAACTGTGTAAGTAATCCATCGACATTACTGAAGGGACAAATTCCCTGTATGAGTTTACACAGTCAGACTTTAAAATACTGAGTAGTTTTTCTTTTGTAGAAACTAGAACTCTTAGCCCTGTTATGTAGCATTAATCATGATGTTTTCTTATGCTGTTACAATACATTCTTTGCCTAATGAATTCTTGATAGAGTACAACCATTGTATTGCAATATGACCCACATGAAGCCAAAACATAACATTGCACAGCTCAAACTGCAAGACAAAATGCAGAGAAAGAAATTTCATTTCTCCGGAGACCAGCAAAGACGCGAAACACAAATACCTCCTTAAAAGAAAATCATAATGTCAATAATTTAATGAATCAGAGGTTATATATTATGTTTCTGGACAGATGGCAACAACACATCCAATAAAATCAAATAAAATCACCCAGATACATCATAATGTGCCTTGTTTAATTCATGTTTTATTTCAAACTATGAGATTACAGGTATTTCTAGCATCAAGATTTGTATTCATACATACCCTGCCGTAATGACCAGCTCCCTAGCACAACATCTGTAAACTTTGATCAAATGCTTTATTTCTCAAGAAAATGGAGGCCCTGATTTTTTTTTGTGATATAAACAGGTTCTGGTCTATTGACCTCACTAGACTGGCAGCATATAATTTGACCCACAGAGCTAGAAATTTCAGTTCCTCAAAATTCAATAGGCTGAGGAGAAAAATGTTCACGTTTGCTATTGCTGAATAATAAATGTATGCATAAGAAACTGATTTGTGATTAAAATCAAATTTCTGTACTGTCATTCTCAGATGTGCTAGGCCACTGGAATCTAAATGACACTCCACGTTAGGGGACTGGTTATTAATACTTGGATGGTGCCAGTCAGCGTGTTAAAGGCTCATATTGAAAATACCATTTTGAACTGCGGAACGACTCTCTCTTTATAAAAGCGCTCTTCAGTAATGATAGTTTGGGTGGCTAATACATTTAATTGTTGAAGTCTGTCACTGGAGGACTGCAGACTGGTATGTAAGTGCAAGGGCTAAGTTGATGAATTAGTCATTTTTTACTGAAATGGTTTTTTTCCCCCTAGAAAATGTGAGTTCCTTGAAACTGAAACTTTTCATAGAAACCAATTAGTTTCAACAACTATTCTGCCTGGGATGTCTTCTACATCCAGGATAGAATTTCTGGTTGGAGAACATGCCCGCGGTGGTCTGAAATGTGGTGTGCACAGGTTCAAGACCCCGTTCTCCTAAATTCGAAATGAAAACAAATGGTGGGACCTGGACATTTCTCACAAAATGCAAGTCTTGTTTTCTGGCCAGCCCCGCTCATAGTCCAATCCTTGTGTTTGTGACAGCTGGGATTCTCAACAGTTGCCTTTTATTATTTTCAGCTAAATTGAAATAAATACGTGAATGGATGAATAAATGGCATACAGTGAGGAAGACAAGAAATGTCCTTGGACAGTATCCTAATGCTCACATAGAAGCTCCCTATCCATAACCCTTTTTCAAACCTTAAAAATGCTGTCACTGACTTCCAACCATATACTTCTTGGCAATATGCTGCCTAGACCTCAGCTGCAACACATTCACCTCCATCCCTAGCAAAAAATGACACATCTCCAACATCTCCATGCTGAGCCCATGATTGCTGTTGAAAAGCACAGCTTGCCCACACATTTCCACCCTTTGTGGGCTGAGTAAAGAAATGCAGGTGTTTTAGTGGACTGCAAAACATTTCCCCAGAACCACTCTTAGGTGCTCTGCTTGGAGTATTTTACTGGGGTGGCCTTAGGGCCACTTTAAGTTGGTTGTGTTGAATGATGTTGGGGACTCAGCATGTCCAAAGCAGGAGTGTGGGGGAAAGCTGTACTTCCAAGGCTGAGGGTAGATAGACCCAAACAGTTTGCATGGGAAACTGCTGTCAGTAATAGGATTTAGACGAGAGGGATCTAAAAGAAATGCAATATCTAGCTAAAAAGAAACTAGAAGCTTTACTAATATTCAAGGGGCCTAGGGCTATATTATTCCATTTAAGAGCCACACAGAGAAACATAACTGAGTTTAGAAGGTAGGGGAGGCTCCTGGTGCTGGGGAGTATGGCTGTTACCCTCCAGCCAGGTCCCAGACAGAACTGCTCCCTGCACTCCAACATGTGTCTCCCAGACACTCCACTACAGCCCCTAGTCCCCCTATATACTTTATGCATTTTCCCTGCCACCTCAAATGCCCCCTAGCTCCACTCTGCCCTCTGTTACCCCATCTATCCCTATGCTCAGCCCTACTGCATTATGCCCAAAACTCCATCTGAACTCACCATCCCCTTCATGCTCTACTGAGTCCAACCAAGCCCCTTCACTGTCCCCATAAACCACTGCACACCACAGAGGCCCATCCCCATCCTACCCAGGCTCCCTGAACCCTTGCAGCCCATGGAGCCCTCTCCTGCCTCTCTGAAAACCCAAACCTCACTGCAGTCCTTCACGCTCACTGGGCCACCCTCACCCACAATCCTTCTTGCTCCCAACCCTCCTCATACCCTATTTTGCCCTCACAGCCCTCAACACACCCCCTCAGACCCAAACCCTATTTATCCCATTTGCCCTTTACAACCTCAACCCTATAACACTGCTGCCTGTTCTCACCCCACACCTCTATACCTCACCCCCCAAACCCCTTGGTAGACATGACTCTCCCATGGGAATCTTCCTCATCAGAAACCTTCCCAAACAGCTCTTACAACCCTGGAGCAAGTAGGACTAGGGCTGTAACTGCCCCCCTCCACCCCAGCTGCCCATAGCTTATCTCCACTACCCTCAAAACACAGAAACAAACAGTTGGGCCGGGGAAGGACTCAGTTCAGCTGCTGGCAATACCTCTTTCCAAGACCAACTCTTTTCATCCAGCCATGCCCAGCTTTATGCTGTACTGGTTGCACTGCTAGTTCAGCTTTCCACAGCTTCTATCATCTACTGTAATGAATAACCCTAAAAAGGGTCACTGTAATAACCTGCCTTTTTGCTTCACCTTTGCCTTTGACTGCTGTGGCACTGAACAGCTCAGCCCACTTTGCCCTCCCAGTCTCTTATGTGTTAGGTGTTTGAATCCCCTAGGAACAAAGCCACCCAGTACAGGCTCCTAGACAGCAGCAAACCTTTATTAGACATGCTGGGGAATGATCAGAAAAATATTACTAGGAGTAGATAATAGACAGGATAATTGTAGAAGAAAGGGTAGTTTGATTAAAGGAAGATCAAGGGTTCTTAACACCTACAGACTAGAGTGAAGAGATTAGCATAAATCAAGTAGGTAATAATGAGCCATTAATTTAATTGATTCACTCAGCTAAAGCTGAATAGAAATGCAGCCTTACCTGACACAGAGTTTGTTTTAAACTTTGAGTGAACAGGACTCAAAAGGTCAAACCTCTCCCTCTCCCCTGGAGCTGCCCCTGAATGTATACATAATACAGTTCTAGATACTTTAGAAGTGAAAATAATAAATGATATATGTAAATGCACTACTCCTCTTTGTTAGCTGATTTTAGGGCTCTGACTAAAGCAGCTAGAATCTAAGCAACATAACATCCAAATCCACAAAATCCTATTGGAATTTTCTGGGGTTTTTTCACATAAGCCCCTGAAACCCACTACTTAAAATTGCTATCATCTGAAACCAATAAACAAAAAATAAATTCTGGAATAGCACGCACCTACACTACACTACACACACACACACACACACACACACACACACACACACACACACACACACACACACACACACACACTGCCCCCAGGGAAATAATTTTGCCAGACTTCCATCCACGCTCCTGAAATCCTGCTCACCCGGTGGGAAGTATAGCTGCCTGATCCCATCTAGAGATAAAGAGTGACTCTTTCGTAGGAGGAAAGTAAAGCAGGGTGGGCTGGAGGGCATCCTAAGAACAGTCAATCTCAGGAAGAAAGCACAGGCTGAGGTTCTTACCTATAGGGTTTACAGTCAGTCTTTCCTGAAGCATCATATTATTATTTCTTCCTCAGTGATTCTTTCCCATCTTCCTGCTCACCTTTGAAGCCTTGTTTGACAGACTATAATCTCTTTAATAATAGGGCCACAGCCTATTATTATCTATGGTCAGAATTTCCAAAGGTGCCTAAGGAAGACCGACATCATTCTCTCGCTAATGTTCAATTCATTTAATCTCAATTCTTTCTATCTGAATGGAATCAAGGAACTGTCTTGTGGGGTCTTTAATAAACCAGCTGGGTTCACAGCAAAGCATAAGTTTACAAATTCCAGCCTATGTGATCATATAAATGGACTCTAACATGTATGAAGCATTTTGATATTATGGCAAACTTCATGAAGACAAATTTGAACACCTAAGTCAGGGTGTATGTATTCCACTGAGGAGAAGTTGGGTATACAACACATTCCAATTTGGTGTCAGTAAAATACAGCCACCTTTGTTGCAAGTTATGATGATGAACCTCACACTTCTGGCATGTACAGGAGTTAATCAGTAATGTCTTTTTGCTATGCCCTTTCCCTATCCCTAGCCCTTCAGTGAAAACACAGAGTAGAGCAACCCTACTGATCATTCAGTGCCTTTACTTCTAGAGTCCTGATTAAAAGATTCAGTAGCTACATGGAAGAAGGTTATGAGACCATGTAGACCAAACGCCACAAAGAACCATATTTACTCTAAGGTACATAACAGGGCTGTGCGAAGCTTCAGGTGCC